CTTACTTCAACCAGAATGACTGTTGGCAAAACAATGCAATTCCAGTTGGAAGCATTGGCACAAGTGTGCTTTAAAATGAAAGGAAAGAAAAAGTCTTCCATCCCTTTAGCTAAGGGAGACGGATTAGTTTACTTCTTTTGTTCTGGGATATCGAGGGCACCCGAGGTTATTTATGTCGAGAAAATCACGCGGTAACCAGATATTGTTGCAGTTTTAACAAGAAGTGGTACTAGTGAACTGAAATTTTCGTTTGTTTTAGTATTTTTCACAGTAATCGGTGACATTAAGACTTAAAGAGTCGCCGCTAGAGACTAAAACGTAACTTAAAAAGAGTCTCAAGCCCTATGTCCGTGTGAAACAGATTAGCAAACTTCTTTTGTTCTCGGGAATTTTAAAGGTTACCGAGGTTATTTCGGCCAAATTGATATTTGCAAGGATAATGCTTTGAAGCTTGATACCAGTATAATTATTGTGGTGTTCACTAAGACTATCAGCGCACGTCTTGAAATGGAGAAAACTGCTATTTAATTAATTTACTGAACGCGTACAATTCAACTATATATATTGAAAATAATCGGAAATCAACCAAATCGTGTAAGAATTTGGTATGGCAGCAGATTTTCAAGACAAATTTTCCATTTCCTATGTAGGATTGTCAGCAGAATCTACACAATATTCTGGCATTTTTTTCAGACAGAACACACCCCCAGAGTCGTCGGACCCCAACTGAATTTTTACCGAACTGAGAGTGTTTTATAACAGCAAAACTTGTTTGCATTGTTTATTGATTTCTATGGCAAATACGTTGACAAATGTTTTTAATTTGAACTTGATTATGTAGAGTTTCTGACTTCCAAATTGCAGTTGCACTTGAATTTGAGATCCACACCTACTGCTCGGTCGCGAAAAGATCGCGCGTCAAAAATTTGGAATACAAAGTAGAGTCAAGAAGGATTCTGAATAATTCATCAGTTTTGGATAGGGCGCCATCAATCAGAAATTATATCTTGACTACCGCGTATTCATTTCACATAAAACCTTATATTCCATTGACTTAACCCTTTCAGAATGTTGGATGAACGCGAAGGCCTTATTGCCAACGTAAACCCTTTTACCTTGCACAATTATAGAACTTTCACTATAACAATGTTATGGCTAACTGAGTAACCTCAAGTACCTTCGATTCGCTGAAGTTTACGGTGAATCCAACGATAAGCGAATATTTTTCCCTTTCATTTTGAATGGAAATTGGGGAAAACAAGGGACCTCATTATTTTTAAAACAAGAGAGTCTCTGTATTTTTGCTATCGACACATTGAGATGCGATTTATTTTGTGAGTGAAGGAGGAGCTTGATAAACCATAAAGAAAAGCGCTAAGAACGGAAGCTTTGCCAGATAGAGGTGAGTTTTACACCGATTGAGCTTATGCGTTCTCAGGATCATGATTTAGTTTAATTCAAGAGGAACAATTTTCCAAGCCACTCGATTGCAAACAAGTTTTCATTATTCTCCGCATCTTTCCTTAGAAGTAAGTCATTTGGTAAATGAAGTCATTTGTTGCTAAAAGGATACTAGAACGATAAGTCACAAATTTTGCCAACAGAGGGAACCTCCTTGACTGAGTGTCTTTTGAATTTGAAGTTGAAGACTTCAACTCACAACACATGACGACACTCCGTTAAAAAACAAGCATGCTTCGGTGATCCTAAACCATCTTGATAGCCAGTTCACAAGTAAATTTACTCAGCACGCTGGAGATCATTTCGATTTTCGTGAGACACGAAATGACTTTCATTTGACTCGGAGGTCATCTACCCTGTCGCACTGTGTAACATGCCACAAAAGGAAAATAAGCATGAGACTGATCATGAGTTGATGCACGTCCTCGCGCTAAAGTGACATCAGTCGCATTTCTTTGATCACCTGCCAGGTATTGTACATCTGGAGCACTTGGTGCATGACCACGTTATACTGTGCGACAAGCTTTCGAGTGGATTGCATGGCTCTAGATTCAGTAGAGGAATAAAACCCGCTAACGCTTCCCTCAAATCAAACCTCTTCCTCAATCAAAAGAATTTTAAGCTGTGACTTTGACATCACGTTTTTTTTTTGTTACGAGTGAAATTCAGCTGATCTAAGTTTTTATTTTATTTTACTTGCTGTTCTGAATCTTGGACTACTTAGATGTTGACCATTCGGATCAGAATTATTTTTGAGCGGTTTATGGAAATA